ATATCCATTCCACGAAGTCTTTCCTTGAAGGTTGACCAGTTTTCCGAGTGGATTTAAATCAATGGAGTTTCTGGGCCAGGCTATAGGACTTTGATTTGCTCACTGGTAATGATTGCCAGTGTGTTCGTGCAGCGTTAGAATTTTCGTACGCTTCCTTCGAGTAAACTCTATCACCGTCAATGGCCATAGGACAACTAATCGACAGTCGAGACAGTAGTGTTGGGGCATGATAAAGAAACTGATGCAATCACGAATGACGCAATGTTTTTCAAGACCAAACAAATTTAATCATACACCCGAAAATAGATTCATATTACTGCACACCACTTCAAATGACCTAATCTGAGGAAAAAAAAAGAAACCAATAGAGCCCTATCTGGCGTCATTTAAGCTAGCTTCCTGTGGAGGGCGGGGGGGTCTCTTGATTAGGCCTTTTTCACAGTATGTAGGAAGAAGTAAATGCGATAGGCAACAATAAAATACAGAACTCAAAACTGATCGCTGCATTTAAGTATTGCATTAATATTTAAGTTTAACTATTAAAAGTTCAACAATAATTCTTCTGCTGCCACTTACTTTAAAGACACGTTGTTGTACGTAGGTCCTTACTTTCCGTAGAAACAATAACGTTTATTTCGTGGGTGACTTTCGCTGGATTTTGCAATTAATTTCGATTATTCCTAAATTTAATTCCAAGTTACAAAAATTGTAATTGTACAAAAAGATGTCCGCAAAAAAAAATCACGTAAAAATTAGCCGAAAATTATTGCAGTAATGAAAACTTGAGAATCTAAAATTTCAGGATTGTGGGTTCGGATCCGGACCGGTTTTTAATTTGTTCACGAAGCTGGTCTGATGGAATCAGCATGGCATGATATGTTGGGCCTATGGCCTCTATAAGTAAAGTGGAAAAACTGTGTCACAATGACATTAGCATTAATTATATAGAAGTTGAACTATTGGTGTGTCCTTTTCATTGTAAAAAGTGTGACACAATGACATTCGCATTTATTATATAGAAGAAGAAGATGAGATATTGAAAGATAGAGAGTTATGTCCCTTTAATTGAAAAGGTGTTTCTTTTTATTACGTTGTTTTATTTCTATGATTACTTTTTCTATCTTCACTCCCATGTCTTCTTTCTTTCTTTCTTTCTTTCTTTCTTTCTTTCTTTCTTTCTTTCTTTCTTTCTTATGGCTGTCGGTAAAGTTTGTTTTAATTCCAGTCACGTAATTCCAGTTTGAAAATGAATTCGACGATCATTTTTTAAATTCCAACCAATTCTGCTGGTGGAGAGGCATCAGTCCGTCTCTTCTCCACCAGCCAGCAGCAGGTTAAATCTCAGGTTAAATTAGGATCTCTATCCGGATAGCAGTCCACTTGTCTTTCGAGTGAGGTTTTCAAGAACGTGTGGAGTGCCATAACTACCGAAGTACTGAATAGATAGACAATCCATTTACTGTTCTAAATGCGTTGGGTACCTCGGCGTGGTGTAATGGTTAGCAAGCTTGTCTCGCTATGAACAATTACTACTGAGTAGTGACTTCGATCCTCACTAGATGCCTCCAACTTTCGGCCAAATCTAAGCTACGCTTGGAAAATCACTACAGTTTTAAATGCGTTTCTGTGTTCATTACATTAGCAATACAGATGATGACAGATTCGCAACTCTCTCAACTAACAAGCACATCACTTTAAAAGGGTATCTTTCAATTTCTATTTATCATTGTCGTCTAGCATGAAAAAGGAATTGGACAGCAATTTGCTCATAATCGTAGCTAATGTTTTAAACTGTCTTTCAAGCATTATTTGTAATGCGTGTTGGCGTTATTGTTGCTACTCCATGACTGAGTTTGTGTGTGTGTTGAAATGCATGTGCAGAAGCAGTAAAGTATTGATCAGCTGTGTCAGCATTCAACTCGCACAATCAGCTCGTTAAAAGGAACGAACACACGCACAAAGTCCTGATGTCTTCATTAAAGAAAATCTTAATCTCTTTCTTTCGTTGTTTTTTTTTTGTTAACACTTTTTTCTTTTAATCCCTTTTCTTCTTTTTTTATTCTTTTTTCTTTCTTTCTTTTCGTTCTTTGTTTCCTTTGTCTTTTTCTTTCTTTTTCTTTTCCTTTCTTAATACTTACTGCCTTTTTCTTCCATCTTTTTTCTTTCTTTCTTAACTCTCTTTTTTCTTTCTTTTCTTTCTTTATTTGTCTTTCTTTGTTTTCTTTCTTTCTTTCTTTCATGTCACAATTTCTTCTTTTCTTTTCTTCCTTTTACTTTCTTTCTTAATACGTACTGTCTTTTCTTTCTTTTCTTCTTTCTTTTCTTCTTTCTTTCTTCTTTTTCTTTCTTTTTTAAAACTTTCTGTTTTCTTTCTCTTCTTTCTTTCGTTTTCTTTTTTCTTGCTTCTTTTTCTTTCTTTCTTAACACATTTTTCTTCTTTTTTTTCTGTCTTTCGGTATTAATTTCGCCCTTTTTTTCTTTCAGTTTTATCGTCTTTTCATTTCAGTTTTTACTTTTTAGTTTTTTTTCATTTTTCTTTTTAAATCTTTCTCTCTTTCTGTCTTTATTTCGCCTTCCTTTTTGTTTAGTTTTTCTTTCCATTTGTTTATTTTGATCTTTCTTTCTTTCTTTCGTTTTTCTTTCTTATCACTGTCTTTACTTATTTGACTTTCTTTTTCTTTTCTTTTTCATTCTTTCTTCCTTTTTGCTAACACTGCTTTTTCCTCTTCATTTTCGTTCATTCTTGTTGCAGTTTTTTGTGTATATATGTACTAGTGAGTTAGCCAAATGACTTGACTCACTTTATAGTCCACCAATAGAAGGTTAACCAATCAGAAGACGTAGAATATTCAACCCGTCGTGTATAAAGGCGGCCATTTTTGTTCACTCTACCCGAATGTCCAGTGCCAGCTTGTCAGGCGAAGAGATAACAGAAGGACGAACTACGCTCTGCTACCTTTTACCAAAATATCCACTGCTAACCTGAACAACGCTTTCCTACTGTCTTCGAAATATTCACTGCTAACCTCTGGATTCTATACTCGAAGACGACTGTCATTATGAATAACAATTCTAACTTCACTGGACGATTCATGTTAATGAAAAACAATGTAACTTTATATTTCAGCACAATGTCAATGCACATGCCGCATATACCTGTGTATAAGTCTACTTCATATATACGCGACCCTTGAATTTGTTTGTGAAAAAACTGATTTTATTCATATAGCTCGTGTATAAATGCAAACCCGGCTTCTGAACATTACTAGTAGGCCTGTCGTAGTCAAATATTGCAGAATTGTAATATTCTATACCAAATAAACGGTCTTCATTCTTTTTTGTAAAAAGCTACCCACAAATGACGGCAAAACCACTTACCACATAGTTAATAATTGTTCACTATGGATGTTATCTTCATGTCGTGTATCTGCTTCGGTAGGCGATCTCTATATGCCGATGAATCTACTTCGGTATGTGATCTATATTTTATATGCTGATCTACTCCTGGGTATGACGATAAACTACGTCCTCGCCAAAAGTAAGACGATAAATTGCATCCGCGTCCTGGGTATGGCGATAAACTACGTCCTCACTAAGAGTAAGACGATAAACTACATCCCTGTCCTGGGTATGACGATAAACTACATCCGCGTCCTGGGTAAAACGATAAACTACATCCGCGTCCTGGGTATGATGATAAATTACATCCGCTTTCTGGGTAAGACGATAAACTATATCCGCGCCTTGGGTATGCATATAAACTGCATCCGAGTCCTAGTTAAGGACTGCATCCAAGTCATGGGTAAGACGATAAACTGTATCCGACGGCAAGGCCTCTGATTAGAAAGTTTTGATGAGAGTGAAAAAACCTATTAATTGCTGATGTTCCCAGGTCCACACTGTCCCGGGGTGGTAGCACCTGTCAGGGTCCCAGCTATGGCCAAATAATTAGCCCCCCACCCACAATATGGGTCAGAACACTATGAAAGTATAGAAATAGGTTTTAATAACAGCAATAATTTTTGTGAAAAAATATTATTAGCTGTACTTTTTGACAAAAAAAATATTAACAGGAATACATTTTTGAAAAGTAAATATTACCAGCAATAAAATACCTGTCGACATTAGATAATCCATTGATGTTGATATACCGTAAAACAAAACAAATCAAACCAAATCAATGTTACAGGTTATTTTATTCTTAATTTTTTCTTCTTTTTTTTTTTTAATTACGTCTTATTTTTATTAGCGATGCCCGCGTGTTTGTTTTTTTTAGTCAATGAAAGTAATATTTGTAGTCAGTTCTTTGAACTTGTAGACAGGTGTTATCATAACGTCGGGGAAGTGCTACGCAGAAAATTTGTAAATTGACAGATGGCGTGTTTGTTTCGTAAGGTCTCTAACCATTTTTTTCTTACCATCCCACTCCCACCACTGAATTATAAATAGGATGGTCTTCTTTATTTGGGACAAAAAAGAGTCGTCTTGGAAGTTTTCAAATATCGAGCATTTACAACGCCTTTGACGTATGCAACCAAAGCACCCCCACATTAAACCCGACGGTAGAGATCAAAGACGAGTTGAAACACCCAGGACTAGTCAACATCATTGACGTTACTCCTTCAAAGAAATGACATGTAGACTTTCAGAAGATCGCATTTATTAAGGTTGGTCTAGTCTGGCACAAGGATTCGGCAGTGAGGACTGAAATAGCAGCAGTAATAATGACATGCTAGATAAACTTTCAAAATCTCATTAGGTGAATGAAACATTATTATTTACTCGGTTTCAGCTTAATCTGACTCATGGTGTGTATCTGTTACGTCCCCAATGAGGATTGACTTCATTAAATAGAACCATACATCATATTACAACTCTCATTCATCCTTTGATGCTTAGTTAGCATGTTCGTTATCTCTTGCTATTACCTTATAATGGACTTATTCCGTTTTGATAGCGAGGAAATGTTCGGAAAAAATATATCCGAATTGCTGTTTGATTCAGTGAGTAAAAATAGATAGATAGATAGATAGATAGATAGATAGATAGATAATTAGATAGATAAAAATAGAAAGCAGATAGATAGATAGATAGATAGATAGATAGATAGATAGATAGATAGATAATATGAACTGACTTTTTTAGATAGGTAGATAGATAGGTAGATAGATAGGTATTATAGATAGATATTCAACTGACTCAAAGAGATAGATAGATAGATAGATAGATAGATAGATAGATTTAAAAAAGGTTGAACTGAAGATAGATAGATAGATAGATAGATAGATAGATAGATAGATAGATATGAACTGACTCAGATAGATAGGTAGATAGATAGGTAGATAGATTTGAACTGACTCAGATAGATAGATAGATAGATAGATAGATAGATAGATAGATAGATTTGAACTGACTCAGATAGATAGATAGATAGATAGATAGATTTGAACTGACTCAGATAGATAGATAGATAGATACATTCGATTTCTACGGCTTATCAACCCTTTGTAGGTTATTTAAAGCCAAAAAATATTTTTAGATAGTAAGAATTTTTTAAAGATAATAATTTTGTGATACAAGTCTTACAAATTTACCCATTGAAGAGGGATAAGAGGTGAATTAGTACCTTTTCCAAGTATCGACCACCCTTCTCTATCGAATTAGTCTAATATTCATTGATTTGTTTTTTACGGCTTATCAACCGTTTGCAGGTTATTTAAATCCTAAAATATTTTTAGATAGTAAGAGCCTTTTGGAGATAACAATGACTTAGATAGACTTCTTACTAATTAACCCATACCTGGAGGGAGACAAGGTGGATTCATACCTTTCTCAAGGGTATTTGCACGTAAGTGAATAAAACGAACCCAACTGGAATTGGAACTCCGTTTAACAATTTCGATCCGTTAACCATTACACCACCTACACATCCAAACCCACAGCACCAGGTATTCCTAGGCGCTCACCCATCGAGGTACTGACCAGGATCGACGTTGCTTAACCTCGGTTATCGTACGAGAATCGGTGTTTCAACGTGATCTGTCCGTAAGCCATACCACCAGTATATGCACGTGGTATTTCCAAGCGGTTACCCATTTAGGGACTGACCAGGATTGACGTTGCTTAACCTCGGTGATCGTACGAGAATCGGTGTTTCAACGTGATCTGGCCCTAAGACATACCGCCAGCACATGCAAGCTTATAGCAATTGGTATTCCCAAGCGGTCACCCATCTAGAGACTGACCAGCTTCGGCGTTGCTTAACTTCGGCGATTGCACCAGATCATTATCTTCCCACCTTATCCTTATAAACTCTTCTTCTATCATCTCTTCGACAGTAGCCCTCTACCTTGAGTGGCTCTCCAGCTTTGTACTACGTTAAATTTAATAACATAGAAGTTTTTTGTTTTTTTTATTGCAAACTAATAGCAATGTAATGGGTTCGATTCTCACTATGGGTCCGAAAGCATTTCAAAGTCCCAAGTTAAGTCTGCAAGTTAAGCTGAGTAAATATCTACACACGATTCTCTTGGATTTTATAAGTATTTGCAAAGAATCCAGATTTGTTGTACTCTTTTATTTAATTTATTTTTTCTTTCTTTATGCTTTTACTTGCAGTAAGATCATTCTCAATCTGTCACCCATCTTTTGCACACGGATAACTCCTTTGCTTAACTTCGGAAATTTAATAAGTTCGAATTAAATTTCTAACCTTTGAAAAAAAATTAAGATTTTAAATAATTGAGAAATTATATTAAAAATCTGTGTAGAGAAAGTCTCAGCAATTTAAAAAAAAAAAAATTAAATGAATGCTTACGCTACGTGTTGGAGAGTAACGTTTTTACGGATTGAGCAATGTTGCGCCCCCGTCGAAATTTAAAATATTCAGCCGATTTGAAAAAATAAATTTGATGTGCGTCTGTGAAGACAAAAAAAATCTAACACACAGACACACAAACGAACAATTGTGATTAAGGTGATTGCATTTTGCCCAAGGTGGTCAGTGTTTCAAATACCGTTCTTTTTTTTTTTTCTTTGGGTCGGCTTGACCCCCCCCCCCTGGAATTCGGCGCAACAAAATCTTCCTCTCTATTTGCTCTTGAACTGAAATAAGCTAAGATTAGTAAGCGTTAATCCATTTTATATCACTGGTAGGATTTATTAGACACATATGTCAAAACTTTTGGTGACAACGAATATTAAATTACATTAGAGGCCTCTCGGCGCCTTTCTGGTATATAGTTTGCTATAGAAATGCATTACAAATTATTTTCCCCCTAGAAGTAGACTGAAAATTAGGACCGGTGCGTATTACCCACGAAACCCTCGACTGCTGGGCCCAAGCTTGATTGGAGTCCCCGGGCAGTGACCTTCGCTATCTAATCATTATTTGATTTTTTTTTTCTATCTACATTTATATATATATATATATATATGTAAGCAAATATATGGATATAGATCCGACAGTATGAAGAAAAATATACAGAAAAAAAACAAACAAAAATCTTAATATGCAATTATGCTATATTAATGTTAATATAAAGTCAACGTCGGACGTTTCGGTCTACTTTAGACCATCTTCAGGACATTTTCATTTAAACATATCTTCGAATATTTTAATATCGCCCATAATGACGACGACGTGATCATATTTTAAACGGAACGCTGATCTTATATAAAAATTTCAGTTATCTGTTTGGATTAGTTGTGCTCTTGTGTCCATCGTCTTTTCGTGTTGAATTTTTATATGTTCTAATGTTAATTATGTTTAAATGAAAATGTCCATGAAGATGGTCTTAAATAGACCGAAACGTCCGACGTCGACTTTATATTAACATTAATACAGCATAATTGCATATTAAGATTTTTGTTTGTTTTTTGTATATTTTCTTATATATTATATATATATAAATTAAATATAAGCATTTACTAACGCTTGAAGAATGAAAATTTTTCGATGAATTTGACGTCATTCAAACATTTTTGAAATTTTGATCTTCGTGCAAAATCTGAAATTTTGTTTTTTGTTTAATGCTTAAAAATGTTTGAATTTAAAAAAAAAAAAAAAATATATATAAAGTCCACTATCTTTTATCCATAATGTTGAATGTGTTAAAATTATTCAACTTTTTAACAAGAAAAATCTCAAGTCGATATTAAAAATCGCCGTAAAACAGGGTTGATTTAATTAAGATGACGTGTCTCTAATTTGTATTTCGATACATTGTATTGAATTTCAATTTTTCTAGTTTAATTGTTCACCTTTATTGCATATGATCCATTATTGTACCCAATTAAGTTACAATAAAACTAGGATAATGAATATTACCTATGAAAATTGAGATTTAGTAGAAAGTTTTATTCCCCCCAATCATAGATTTGGGACGGGAATCTCAAGATTCTTGCATTGACCCTGTATATATATATATATATATATATATATATATATATATATATATATAAAAAAGGCTTAAACACTAATATTCCATGGTCATAATTTTTTCCATTGGAATCAAAATACGATCCAAATCATCAGACCTACAAATTCAAAATGAAAACAGAAAAAAAAATAACTTTTTAATCAAAACAGAATTTAGATAAAAGCGTAAGTATGAGAAGGAGGAGATTAAACCTTAACAGAGAGAATTTTAGGAGATGTGGGGGGAAAAAAAGAGAGGAGAAAAGAAAGTCGACGGATCTCTAATGCATAAAAATTACATTTCGTGATGACATATACACAAATAGACAATTAGAAAAAGGAGGTAAAAAAAAAAAAGAGAAGAGGTGGGAAGAGAGAACATTATTTCTTTTAAAAATATATATATATATATATATATATATATATATATATATATATATATAAAAATGTACAGCCTTCTGTAGAATATAAATCACGCCTTTTTATATTTTTTTTAACATTTATATACGTTACAATTTAATCTAAGTACAACTGAAAATTAAAGGATGAATTTTTTTCGCGGATTTTGATGTCATTTTGGAGTCGTTTTCTTTTCGTCCAAAGCCGTGAATTCGTTTTGCTCATCTTAAACTTAAAACAAAATGCTATACAAAATTCTCTATTTTCTATCCACAATATTGAGTGTGTTAAATTCTTTTCTTCAACTTTTTAACAAAAAAATCTCAAGTTGATGTGAAAAACTGACGCAAAACATTGTTGATTTATTTAAGAAGGATTGTGCTATTTAATGACAGGTTTCTAATTTGTATTTAGATAAATTGTGTTTATTTTCAACTTTTTTAGATGGATTATTCACCTATATTGTATATGATCCATTATTGTACATAATTAGGTTACAATAAGATTTGAATTTTTTATGACTATTACCTTATGAAAATTGAAATCTATTAGAGTTGGGGTGCGTATCACAATTTCGGCGAGACGGCGGTGGCACGAGACCCTTACACCAGACCTGCTGGAAGTGATTTTAATTCTAGCCATGTCACGAGTAGAATTCATTAAACAAGTACTTAAAAATGTTATTAACTCTAATTGCTGGTATTTTTTTTCCAAAATCTACTGCTGGTAATATTTTTTTTCTAAAAATGTATTATTGGTATTAATATTTTTACTTTCACAGTGTTTTGATCCAGTTTGGGGGTTCCCTATGTGCTCATATCTGGGACCCTAACAGGTGTTACCACCACGGGTCAGGGTGGACTTGGGAACACCAGCAATTAAGAGGTGGTTCCACGTTCCTCAAAACCTCCTGATCAGAGGCCTTGCTGTTGGATGTAGTTTACTGTCTTACTCAGGACGCAGATGTAGTTTACTGTCTTACCCAGGAAGCGGATATAATGTATTGTCTTACCCAGCATGCGGATATAGCTTATAGTCTTACCCAGGACGCGGATGTAGTTTATCGTCTTACCCGGGACGCGGATGTAGTTTATCGTCTTACCCAGGACGCGGATATAGTTTATCATCTTACCCGGGATGCGGATGTAAAAATATCGTCTTACTTTATACGCGGACGTAGTTTATCGTCTTAAAGGATGCGGATGTAATTATCGTTTTACCAAATACGCGGATGTTATTTTATCGTCTTACCCAGGACGCGGATGTATTTTTTATCGTCTTACCCAGGACGCGGATATAGTTTATCATCTTACCCGGGATGCGGATGTAGTTTATCGTCTTACTCAGGACGCGGACGTAGTTTATCGTCTTACTCAGGATGCGGATGTAGTTTATCGTCTTACCCGGGACGCAGATGAACAACAATCGTCAAAATGGGACGCGGATGTGGTTTATCGTCTTTTGTGCCCAGGACGCGGATGTATGTTTGACCGTCTTGCCCACACATCAAAATTTGAATTGAATGAATTCGGTCGCAATTCGCAATCAGGCTCACGGGGTCACTTCGGGTCGCCAACTGTTCTAGCAACGGTTATATCAGCCAGAGAGGATGAGAGAAGATAATATAAGCGGAAAAGAAACGAGGAAGCGATGAAGAATAGAAAATAAAAACAAAAAAATCATGGAATTATAAGAAAATGAGTGGCAAGTTACATAGAAGACCGTGGAAAGAGCAAGAAGCGACATAATCCAGGTATAACAGCAAAATTGTCCAAATTGTCTTACAGCATAATTGTCCATCACACAAAACTAATATCTAAAAAGCCACTAAACTGATTGAGTTTCTTTTTTCTAGGTTTTCAGATAAGACTTTAGCCATTTTGATACCATTTGTCGTAAGAATAACTGAAATCGCGTAGAATGAGAACAGGTTAAAATCGTTTTGTGTCAACCCCACTGTCTTTCCAAATGAGCAATACTGAGTGGAAAAAGATCATTCAGGACATCACTAATGGTACTAACATTCATAAGATGACTTCCATCGTCAAAGTTCATTCAAGTACCATCAAGAGAAGGGTGAATAAGTTTAAAAAAGAAGGAATAATAGAGAGAAAAACTGGATCATGATGTCACAACAGGAAAAGGGATGATGATTTCAACTTAGAGCTAAAGAGATCAATTAGAAAAGATCCAACTCAATTTATAAGACGTTTGGCACGTGAGAGATGAGTTTCAGTTATGACAGTTCAAAGAGCAGTGAAAAAAAGACTTGAAAATGAAATCTTCAGTGAAACCTCAAAAGGTAAATTTTACTCCAGGACAGAAAGTTAGAAGGTAAGAGAGGGCAAAAGATCATCTTGGATAAGTTGGAAAATTATATATATATATATATATATATATATATATATATATATATATATAAATTTTATTAAAGAATGACGAAAATAAAGTATAAAAATTAATTTGACGAGAAATATTAAAATGAAAAAAAAACGGGTGAAGCAAAGTGTTGCTTCACCCGTTTTTTTAATATATTCTTTTTATTTATCAATAAATTTATATTTTTATTTTTTTATATATATATATATATATATATATATATATATATATATATAGATATAGTTTATTCCAATCCTTCATGAGCTTTCAATCCTTCATAAGCTTCCAATTTCTAAAAGCTATGATTAATTAATTATGAACATGTAATGATCGATTTCAACAGGATTCTGATGATAAGCTTGGAGAATAATTATACATTATTACTGCTTAAAGTAGAGTCCAATAGTATTATAAAGACCTCGTAGAATTCCAGATATCTTTAATCATTTCTATAATACAAAGTTTCAAAGATTAATCTAACAAATGGACAATTTTGCGGTTACACCCGGTATATACTGGATATAAGTATATAGGTATATAAGTTTGATTGCTGAATTTATCTCGTCTCAAAATCCTTTACATGATTTTTAACAATGTCCTCTAGAGCTCAGACTTTTCCCAAGTGTTAAAATCAATTAGAGCTTTCTTAAGAAAATATTTTATATAGGTTTTATAACGCTGATGGGTTTGCATTGAAAACGCTTCCTCCTCATAAGTAAAGAAAGGAATATAAAGGAGAGACAGGCCGCCCCCTCAAGGTAAGGCTTCAAGAACACCAGAAAGCTGTAACGCGAGGGGAAGTAGAAAAATCAGGCGTGGCTGACCACATATGGGGAGAGAAGGGAGATCACCGCCCCCTGTGGAATCATGTTGAGATCATAGACAGGGAACAACATTGGAAAATTCGTAAACTTAAGGAACCAGCACATATGCTAGGCCACAAAAATCTCCTGAGCCGATCAAGCATAGAAATAAATACAATATGGGGACCAGTAATAAGGAGTGCCAGAGAAAAGCAATGATAACAAAGTTGCAATATGAACTCTGGTAAAGACATGCAATGATAACAGCAAAAATTGCAATATGAGCACTGGTAAAAATGATATTGAAAACATTAGGTTTATAATACTCATAAGTTCATACCCAGATGTCCTCGAGGACACATGGCACAGTGGATAAAGGCGTTGGTTAGATCCAGTGACAGACCCAAAGAAGGTGAGTTCCTGGTTAAGGCAGTGGAGAACTTTCAGAGAGAAAATTAGAAGGAGATAACTGATAACTGACATCCATCAAACATGGCACGTGGAATTAGAACAGTCTACTCCAGTGATAGAAATAAAGGGTTCAATTCGAAATTCCAACCACCTGAAGAAGGCCGGAGCGTACAACGGCCGAAACGTTGTGACAAATATGGCGAAAAAGATGAGGACAATAGTCCGACTAATGTAAATACTGTACTATATATATATATATATATATATATATATATATATATATATATATATATATATATATATATATAAAAAATATTCTTCAAACACTAATATTCCATGGTTATAATTTATTACATTAGAATTAGAATCGTAATCAGGATCCAAATCATCAGACCTAAAAAATTCAAAAAAAAATCGGAAAATATAACTCGGGTATAAAAAAAAAAAATTTTAGTGAGAGTGTATATCTGTTTTTTAAGTTTTTGAGAGGGAAATGTATAAAAGATCTAGAGAGAGGGTGTAACGGAAGAAAGAAGAACAGGAAAGCCTAAAGGTGAAGGTGGGGATTAAAATTTAACAGAGAGAAGTTTTAAACAGAGGAGTTAAATAACGGTTTAAATGAGTGAGATACAGATAAACATGAATTATTCTTACTCTGTCCTTATATATATATATATATATATGTATATATATATACTGACGACTATTATTATATATATATATAAATATATATATATGAAACCAGTGTATTATGTAATTCGTCGAATTATGTTTTTTATCTATTTAGGATAGAGTTTCCAGTTCCTTCTAAAGTTAACTTCATCTCTGTACATGGTAACGTCTCCGTGGAGTAGATAGGTTTATCTATCGTCCGGTTCACACTCTTCCCCGGTCTTTTGATCAGGAGTCGAGGTGTGTTCCTTGTTTCCTTTTTAGGATTAGGTTTACGGTTCCTCCTGAAGACTTTTCATTCTCTTTTCGCTCCCCGTAGCTCCTTGCGTCTTAGTGGCATTATCACCTTGCTTGAAGTGAATTGTTTAAAACAAAAAAAAAATTCCTAAACGAAGCCTCGGTCTCATTCTATTAAAACTTGAAACTTGAGACAAAATATTACAACCCACCCTTGCAAACAACAACATCGAAGAGCGACGACAAAAAACAAAAAAAACAAAACAAAAAAAAACGTAAAAAAAAAGACGTGACTCATCTTCTTGTCCGTTTTAAATAAAGAATTTCCCCTATTTTCTCTCGACACAACGAGATAATTTTCCGCATAGAGCTATTTTTCTTCTAACCGCAATCTTGTCTTGTTTAGTTCGATAAGAATTATCGCTTATTGGTTGCTTTTTGCTTTCAAGATTCCAGCAAATAAGTTATTTGGCGGACTTGCCGCTTCCACTGGTATCAATTAAAATGGCCGCTTTTTATTGCCTTTCGCGTAGACATTTTGCCTTTAATATTTACTAAGATTAACGTGGCTAAATTGAGAAAGATAAGACAAGAACGATTAGGCAATCTTCCAAATGGGGGAGGACATGTGATTCAAACACACAGACACTTCATTTAAGCCAGTTTCCGCAGAAAGAAAAATTTTTGATACAAGGAATGGAAATAAAATTTCAGCAATTAAGCTGTAAATTATGCATTGAATTAAAATGTCGTCGTCTTGGAGTCAGAATTTTAAACAAGCGTAAACAACAGAAATAAAATATACATGATATGTGATAGGTTTTAAAAAAAAAAGCAGCATTGCTGGCCTAGTTAGACATACCTTCAGGTCGATAACCCATTTCACTTAGGTGGTGTCCGATCGAAAGCGATCTAAGAATCGAGATATGTCTCCCAAGTCGCCTTCGCTGCTTCATCCTTTATACTTAAAAAAAAAAACTATCGACACGCGCACTTGATCGTTTCGTTATCACCCTCTTTATCTCTCTCTCTCTCTCTCTGTCTCTCTCTCTCTCTCTCTCTCTCTCTATATATATATATATATATATATATATATATATATATATATATAAATATGTAGAAAAATAGGAAAGAATACGTTAGGTAAATAATCCGGAGTACTTTAGCATTTTTGTTTTTATTTTTAAAAAACAGTGCTCCATACAGAAGTAGAGCTTCAATTATAATTATTTTTTTTAAAAATATGATTCCATATACATAGATAAGAATCTCATGTTTCAAAATAAGTACATATAAATATCAATTTAATTATTGGAATTAAATTGGTTAAAATATCAATTTCTTTCAACTCAAACAAAGGATGAACCAACGATCTTGATACTTTAATTCAATTTAATTCTAATCTTCATATATTGAGAAACTTATCAAATTGTTTTTGAAACATGAGAACTCTTATGTAGCGAAGGAATTATATTTTTTTTAAATAATTATAATATATATATATTGTATATCTAGACAGAAAACCTTCATTTTTACATGTTTCATTAAAGACGACAGACAAGGTACGACGATTATTTTTTTCTATTTAAATTTTCTTGTGTTCGAACAAGTGTTTTCCTTTTTGGACAAAGAGTGTGTAAAAACTGTCCAAATTATCTATGAGTTCAAATGCCCCTTAGGGAACTGTGTTCCTGATCAAACCGAATTCATAAGTAACTACATCGGACACACAACTACATGCTTATCCAGACGGCTTACGTTACACCTATCTGATCACAGCTCTATGACAACCCATTTAAACACACACAAAAACATGCCAGGCTCCATCCGAAACATACTAGTAGAAAATACAAATATAATAACCTCATTCACATGTAAAAAAAAAAGATTACAAATAATGGAAGCCTTAATAATAAAAAAGAAAAAGCCAATGGATAAAATTATGAAGTAGGAACACAACCGCAATGTACTGTATTAAGAAAATAAAACATCTTTATAACTCTAAAAAAATGTCCACAAAACACCCAATTAAACTGAAAAATAAAATCAACCTTGATAATGGGTAAACGTATAGCCGAAAGCGTTCGGAATTATAGAACATTTGCACAGTTTCTACACACTCTGTGTCTAAAAAAGAAAATGCTTGTTCGAACACAAGAAACATTAAATAAAAAGCTTAATCGTAGTACCTTTTCTGTCGTGTTTAATCAAAAATGTAAATATATATATATATATAGAGAGAGAGAGATAGATAGATAGATAGATAGATAGATAGATAGATAGATAGATAGATATCCGATTTTTACTACCAAACTCATTTAATTAATTATTCTTGCATTATCGTTCTCCTTCTTCACATGTAGAAATACCTTCGGGTTTCTTGCTTCCCTGATAACTACAATCGTCATCTTCTGTCTTCTTGAAGCCTGTTCTTTTTTTCCCCCTTTCTTTAATTCTCCCCATTTTCAATTTTTCAAGATAGCAACGAGATGCATGATTGTGATGAAACCTGGACTGAAATTGAAAAAAGCTATTGAAAAGGTTGTCAGTTTTATGGAAAGAAAGCCAGCATTCAGCTATGCTGATTGCATTAACGCCAGCAGAGTTAAAAAGTGAAAAAAAAAAAATTTCAAGACCATAAGCAAGACAACATGCGGAAAAAATGAAACACGATGCCACAGTAGCAATCCACCCTCATTCCATTCGTATTCTCCTGGTGAGATGTAAGCTCCACTCAAGCAGATTTTTGCCCACGAAACACTGCATTGTGGCACTGACTTTAAAAAGATAAGGTTCATTGATTTGAAACAATCTTAACCTGTTCAAGTCCAGAGTTAACCAATATCCACATATACCCATTAACTCCCTCTTATCCTTTAGGACTCTGCCTCATGTGGATTCTGGACCTTATACAGGGTGAACGTCCCTGTAAAAAAAAAAAAAAATATGAGAAACCAATATTTTTCTCAAGAAAGTAAGAAATATTTAAAGAAAAGAATGGATAGGGCGCCATGACTTATTTTATTGCATTTTCTAGCAGTAGCTGTAAAAAAAACAAAAAAAAAACCCAAAGAAAAACGTCATTTTGGTAAGAATGAATATCCAGGGTGTGTCTGGTATAACCACCGCTAGTTCGACCTCAATGTTGATGCCCTTTCGTTTTATCAAACCTCCTTTAAACCGGTTTCAAAAGAGCAAAGAAGATTTTTTAAATACAGTTTAACCCGGATATAAGAGAGTTGTCGGGACCGGAGAAGTCTCTTATATCCGGGTTTCTCTTATATCCGGGTTCGGTCTATTTTATATACATTAAAACAGGCTCTAATTTGGGACCAGAGAAAATTCTCTCTTATATCCGGGTCTCTTATATCCGGGTTAAACTGTATATTTTTCCTGATAGATAGATAGATAAATAGATAGATAGATAGAAAAAAAACAGATTAAAAAGTACATAATAGATAGATAATATCGCCCTTTGTAAACGGAAGAAAAGGAGATAAATAGATAGATAGATAATGAAGAGAAAGATAGATAGATAGATAGATTTATGATTAGATAGATAGAAAGATAATAGATAAGACTACACACGATAGAAAGAAAGAAAAGAAGAAAGAAAGAAAGAAAGAAAGAATGAATGAATGATTGAATGAATGAAGGAAATAGACAGAACTAAACAGAAAGAAAGACATAGTCAGACAAATTAGTCAGAATATGAAAAAAGGAGACGTCAGACAAAGAAAGAAAGAAAGAAGGAATAAAATAGACAGAACTAAAAAGAAAAAAAAAAGAAAGAAAGACATGGACAGAACTAGAAACAACAGAATATGAAAAAAAAGAAGTCAAACCTAGAAAGAAAGAAAGAAAGAAAGAAAGAAGAGCAAAATGTGATAGAAAAATTGTCTTTTTAGCCCACGGAAATATGTTAATGACAAGGAAAATCGGGTGTTCAAATGGACGCAGGCGATAGACACAAGACATGGACTAGTTTCAAAAGAAACGAACAAAAATATCGCTTGTCAAAACCAGTGTTTGACTGTTGAATAGAAAACAAGTAAAGGTAACGACAGACCGACCATTCCAGCAACTGCAATCATGCATTATTTTTACATATCAATCTATTTCACGTTGTTTACATCTATCTATCTATCTAAAACCTGATCGTTATCTATCCATCTATCTATCTATCTATCTATCTATCTATCTATCATATCATCTATCTCTCAGTCTGTCTGTATCCATCTATCTATCTCCCAGTCTGTTCATTATCTATCTATCTATCTATCTATCTATCTATCTATCTATCTATCTATCTATCTATCTATCTCAGCCTTTTCATAATCTATCTATCTATCTATCTATCTATCTATCTATCTATCTATCTATCTATAAGTTGTAGTCATTATCTATCTATCTATCTATCTAAATATCTATCTATCTATCATCTATCTATCTGCATCATCTATCTTCATTATCCATCTTTCTCCATCTATCTATCTTGTCTATCCATCATCTATCCATCTATCCATCCATCTATCTATCTATCCAAAATTCATTATCCATCTATCTATCTATCTATCCATCTATCTATCTATCTATCTAGTCAGAAATTCTTATCTCTATCTATCCATCTATCTTCTATCTATCTATCCATCTATCTATCTATCTATCTCAGCCTCTTCATTATCTATCTATCTATCTATCTATCTATCTATCTATCCATTCATCTATCTATAAGGTTTAGTCATATCTCATTCATCTATCTATCTATCTATCTATCTATCTATCTATCTATATATCTATAAATTATCTATCTATCTATCTATCTATCTATCTATCTATCTCAGTGTCTACATATCTATCTATCTATCTATCTAAAGTGTAACATATCTATCTTTTCTATCTATCTATCTATCTATCTATCTATCTATCTATCTCAGTGTCTACATATCTATCTATAAGTTTAAGTCTCTCCACATCTATCTAGCTAGATAGACAATAGCTATCTGAATCTGCTTATGTGAGTCTATCTATCTATCTATCTATCTATCTATCTATCTATCTATCTCAGCCTGTTCATATCTTTCTATCTATATATCTCGGTCTATTCATTTCTATCTATCTTGGTCTGTTTGGGCAGTTGGAAGCGGTGTAATGTTTAGTAACCTAGACTCGCTAGAACAATTACGACTGAGTTTTGAGTTCGATCCTCACTGGTTGTCCCCTACTATCTGCCCTGTGCACATCTAAGCTACGCTTGGAAAATCCCTCCATTGGTCTGTTCATATATTTCTAACTATGTATCTCGGCCTGTTCATATCTGTCTGTCTATCTATCTATTCACATCTATCTGTTTCATTGTTCTTACATCTACTCTGTTAATATCTATCGATATATCTATTTTCAATCAAGTCATAAATCTATCTATCTATCTATCTATCTATCTATCTATCTATCTATCTCAACCTGTTCATATCTATCTATCTATCTACTTAACCTGATCGTTATATATCTACCTATCTATCTATCTACTTAACCTGATCGTTATCTATCTATCTATCTCAGCCTGTTCATATCTATCTATCTATCTATCTATCTATCTATCTATCTATCTATCTATCTATCTATTTATCTATCTATCTATCTATGTACTTAACCTGATCGTTATCTATCTATCTATCTATCAATTCACATTTATCTATTTCATTGTTCTTACATCCAGTCTCTTAATATCTATCGATATATCTATACATCTATTTTCAATCAAGTCTTACATCTATCTATCTATCTATCTATCTATCTATCTATCTATCTATCTATCTATCTATCTATCTCAGTCTATCTATCTATCTATCTATCTATCTATCTATCTATCTATCTATCTACTTAACCTGATCGTTATCTATCTATCTATCTATCTATCTATCTATCTATCTATCTATCTATTATGCCGACATTCCCTGGCTAGAATCCACTCTGTCATGTATTCATGCAAGGCATGCCACGAAAGCAAACGTGCCTAGTCCCTAGAGAGCGCAACTCTGGGCTGGAACCTCCCCGTTTCATTAAAACAGAATATATCTTTTTATGAAGCCTTTAAGAAACCTGGTCGCATATATCTAAGCGGGTAATATTTGCTCCTACCTGCGATGTTGGTGGGAGGCTGGTTGCTGATATTAAATTGACTTTGTCCTCGTCACAGTACAACCACGAGCACAGAATTAACCGTATAGCCTATTAATCGGAGGTATATGCGTGAATATTGGATGGCTATGCACTTGGTACTGAAATATCCATCAGACAAATTCAGAGGATTTATTCCATCATAAGCGATTGTTTGCTTTTTTATTTGATGTTTACAAATCGGAAGAATGGATAATATGTTTTATCAACAGACTGTTATGTCTCTCTCTCAATCAATCTATCTATCTATCTATCTATCTATCTATCTATCTATATATATATATATATATATATATATATATATATATATATATATTATATATATAGATATAGATATAAAATATTTATTTTTTAAAACATTTTTATGTTTAACGTTCTTTTTTATAGATACAAATTCATGGAAGATTGAAGTTTATAAGCAGTAAATTCGACCTTGCCAACCGAACGATCCTTTGTGGCCGAGAGGTTAGGCACGTCAGCGTAAATGACGGTTCCGTATAGGATGCAGGTTCGAATCCAGTCAAAGGACGAATATATTCTATGAAAATTTCTCGGGCATTCAGGCCGGTAAATGTTATTTAATACTGTTTATTATAAACAGAGCATTTACTTAAATACTTGTATCTATAAAAAAGAACGTTAAACATAAAAAATGTCTTTAATAAATAAAGTGTCGGACTTTGTCCATTTCTTAATATATATATATATATATATATATATATATATGTACAAAGGGTAAGTGCTGAATCAGACCAGTGGACAGTGGTATTAAAAAGTTCTCAATGCACGTGAGAAAATAGAAGTAAAAATAACAGGTAGAGCTTTTAAGTTTAAAAATCAGGAGATCATATTAAAATACGCGACCACGGTTTCGACCTGACGGTCTCTTCGGTCGATACTTTTAAAATGACCACTTTAATGCTTTATTTAAAAAACACACAAAGGACGCTACATAATCATCTTTCAAAAAATATCTTTAAAAAAAAACTAAAAGGCGGATGATGATTAAAAGACCGTAAATTGGGTGTAATGGGAAGGGAAGGGAAAAATGAGGTGACGGAAAGAATGTGAAGGGACAGGAATGCAAGTATATTGTAAAATATGTAACTTAATTGTCATGGACGTATTATTGTTTCATTAAATAATACAGAAAAGTAACCAACCAATTCTGAACAAAATTCATTACGAGTCTAGTAACAATGTTTAAAATGAATTTGACCAAAATTTAATGCCATTTGCATTTGTACT